TGTAGTTAAAGTGAGATGTCTGATGTGCTGTCTGGCTGGGCAGCTGTCACAGCTGTGCGCCCCAGACCGAGCTGTGTTGATGGGGCAGAAGACGTGTCTGCTGATGGCTGCTGCTGCCTCTCTGGAGATCTGCAGGAGCTCGGATCACACTGAGCAACAGGTGGATCACACATTCATTTTCACCTGACTAAACATTAACCAGTAGGTAAGAGGCGTTTTGCTTGCTTTCTAAGGACATGATGAAGAATGAAGTATGAAACTTGACACTACACAAATTCAGAATGTGGACTGAAGTTGTATGTTTAAATGCACAATAATATCAAGGGTTTGGAAGTTTCTATTTGAAATTCTAAGATTGCTACGAACCCTCCACTTGGGCCCACATTGTCCACAACAATATTTAAAGGACCTAGTTTCTATAAATTAAATGTAAGAATTCTAGAACTTTTAGGAGCTGAATATTCTTCAAGGTATTCTGAATATTGGGGAAAATAAGAATACCTAATATTCTAATATAAAATAAGGATTTTTAAAATGATTATTTTTTTACTCACAGTTTCTACCCAGTCAGTGGATTTTTTACCCAATTTATTAATTTACATTATTTTTTCCAGGTATATAAATCACACTTTTGTCCTTTTATCTGATTCTTCAAAGAAAAGAAAAACAGTTGTTGAGTAGGGGAATTAAAATAAGAAATATCTTGCTGTAGCTGATTTTAATGTTTAAAAAAAAAAAGTAAATATAATTTTTATATAACATTTAATATGTACATAAAAAATAATATTATTACAAAACAAAAATAATACCCTTGATTATTTTAATATATTGACAGCCCTAGATTTTGTTAATGAAAACAAGCATTTTTGCTCTCATGTCAAGCAGAAGTAGACTTGGTTGAAAAGCACTTATGTTCTCTGAATGTTACCACGACTAACCAGCAGAGGGCGCAGTGTATAATATCTGCTGTGCTTTCAGACTGAGCTGCTGACCCAGACTCTAGAGCACATCCAGCTCTGTAAAGAGATCTGGATGACCATCAGAGCATCAGGTGTCACATATACTATTTTTATTCTTTTACAAATACAGAAGTAAGTTATACCCCGTTTTTCCAGAATAACAAGGATTGTAAGAATTTTGGTACTTTCTTTCCTCAATTAGGCTCTTCCCCTAAAGACAAAACAGACACATTATTGCTGCTCTATGAGTTTGAAGCCCGGGCCAAATTAAATGATGCCAAACTTGAATCTGTGCTCGAATCAGTTTTGGAGCTGGATCACATTGAGCCCAAGCTGTTAGAAATGATCGCAGGTCAGCTTCTCCAACCATAACCCCCATTTTAAAGAATTACATATTTTAATCATTTATGGACGGTGAAATTCCGACTGCATGTAATTATACCTTTCAAAAGTTTGGGGTCTGTACGTTTTTTTATAAAAACATTTTTGAAAGAAATTAATACTTGTATACATTAAATTGGTCAAAAAAGAATCCTAAAAAAATGCATCAGTTTCCACAAAAATATACAGCACAACTGTTTTCAACATTGATAATAATACAAACTTTTTCTTGAGCATCAAATCAGCATATTAGAATGATTTCTGAAGGATCATGTGACACTGAAGACTGGAGTAATGATGCTGAAAAATCAGCTTTGCATCACAGGAATAAATTACATTTTAAAATATATTCAAATAGAAAACAATTATTTTAAAATGTAATAATATTACACTTTTTACTGTGCTGTGATCAAATAAATGCATCCTTGGTGAGCATATGAGACTTCTTTCAGCAACATTAAAAAAATCTTTACGACCCCAAACTTTGGAAAGGTAGAGTATGAAAGGACAGTATATGCTCTGATGGTCCTGTACTTTGTGTCTACAGCCTTGGCAATGGAACCACCAGCCCATTTCCCCATTCTGTGCAAGAAGGCACTGAGGATCACCCTGTCTCTTCACAGGAAACAACCACAGGTCGACCTCACACACTGCAGGTCAGACTAGCCGAGTGTTTGTTACTTACACAATGATGTTACCGCACTGATAGATAAAAAAAAGACATCAAATTGTTCCTCATGTGACACACACCTTATACATGTGTGTGTGTGTGTGTCACAGTAACTGTTTACACAGCCTGATTCAGCTGACCCTGCCGAGCGGTGTGTCCGAGGTGCAGCCCTGTGTGTTGGAGGAAGTGTGGGGCTACTATGAGCAAGCTCTTTCCATCATAGCCACTGCAGTGAGTTGGTTACGTTGACTCAGCAACCGTCACACACGACCCGCTGCAGATCAGCCCTGCAATTATCCCCATCTTTGAAAGAATCTCCTGTTTCTGTCAATGGGCTTTTAGTTATGCCTCAGTTAGCAGATGCTCCATTCACCAGCTTCTTCCTGCCAATTTGGATGCTAATTTGAAAATATTGCCCGTATCCTTTATCTTGGACTAGTGTTGCAGAAAGCTTGCATAAGCATCAATATGAAGTTGCATTATATAATTTTGCAGCTAGTGTTTAAATTTAAATATCTGATTTCTCCATTTGAACCATCACAAACAGGTGTCTTCTCTTCTCACACAGCCCGAGGACTTTCCAGAGCTGGAGATCCTGTGGCTGCTGACCCGAGCGTGGAATACGGGAATCCTGCTGTACAGTCTGGCCCAGTACCCCGAGGCAGAGAGGTGGTGCGGGCTGGGAATGAGCTTCCTCCGGTACCTGGGCTCCCTGCAGGACAGCTATCAGACTCAGGTAACGCCGCTCCACAGCTGTTTGAGCACTCGACCCAAGGTGATGGATGTCATTTTCATATTCTTCTTGCCTCAAGTCAGGTGTGCAAGCGCTTTTTCTTTTTTTTTTGTCACCTCATTTGGAGGTTTAATTATAGCAGCAGTAGTTACAGCTATGTAGGTAGTTCGAGCAGCATACAATAGGGAGGTTTAGCTCAGCTAGTAGAGTTTAAATGTGTCATTTGGCAATAATTCCGCATCCGGGTTCCAGGAATTCACAAGATAATATTCATTAAAAACCTTTTGTTCATGTTGTTTAGTAAAAGAAAATGCACCAAGGTGTGAATAAAATACATGAAATGTGACTCCCCAGATGGCGGGTCTGTACAGTGAGGTGTTGGGCAGGCTGGATAAAGCAAAGAAGAATCATATTATTGAAGAATGAATGATGGCAGCTTCAATCGCAGATGGAGATCTCAGGTCTAACGGCACGTGTTTAATATGTAGTGTGAATGTCTGTGCATGTTTTTGACAAGCTAAGAGCTGTAAAATGCATCTGAAGGTTTGTTCGTACAGTTATGAAATGTTCAAAAAATGGATTTTTTTGTATTCATTTAATCTGAAATATATATCATTTTTGGCAGTATTATTTTATTACCTGTCATTCGGTTATTTGTTTGAGCTGTCCTTGGTTGACTAGTTCAAGTCAAAACAACTGCATTGCGATACAAAAACAAATAAAAATGCATGCATTGAAATCGTAACAGAGTCACATAGTTTATTTCCAAACAAATAAACTCTTGTCCAGTCCAAAAAAAGAAATAAAACTAAACAAAAAAATAATAATAATTGGTAGGACTGTGTTCCCTCCTGACCAGGATATAAAAGAGCAGTTTTCCTTGTGTCCTGATAGGTTGAACCACCTGTAATCATGGGGAGGACACTACTGTACAATCAAAGGGTTCATATTTGCAAGCACTTACTGCACAGGTGTGCTGTCACATCAACAACTCATAATCACTCAAAAAGACAAACCAGACCCCTTCCCTCCCCATTTCACACTCATGTCTTCTGGAGCAGAGACCCTCATTAGTACGCCAGAGCTGCTCTGATTTAATCCACTTCATTAGAAATATAGTACAATGAATTAAAATTCTTTGGGCTTCACCAACACGGCTGACCAGCATCAATGGTGCGAACAGTCAGCCGCTGTTCTGCTAGTCACCTCGGAGGACCAGATCTACGATAAATGAGTAATTTATGCTCCTGGTTTACTTTAATATCACTCTACGGGTTGCTGTCCGCATGTCTTTTTATATATATATTTTTACATTTGTTTTTCATCTATACACTCAGACAATTTCCACAAGATATCACAAGTAGACAGGCCGTATTGTAGGGAAGCTGATTCCCGACTCGCTAAAAAAAAAGTTCCGATAGGCAGCTGTAGATATTTTTTTCTATAGAGAAATACCAACATTACGGCACATTTGTATGGAAATTAATCTCAGAATAAATTCAAAGTTTACTTACCTGACATTTGTGATTTATAAAACATGTTTGTCCCAGTTGTATCACACATGCATGAAGCACAAGTGAGGGGGGGATATTTACACTTTACAGCTATCATACCCATTAAAACAGTCTGTAAGCAGTTTATAAATGGCTCTGTTCCCTTCGATTATTCCCTGAACTCTTGTTTTGACACAGGTATGACAGCTGATTTCGAGACGCTTGGCAGGTGCACAGGAGCACACCTGTTTAGAAAATGCCTGTGGGGCAGGGGGTGAGAGTGGGCCCAAGAACATCCCTTGCTTTCCGCGGGATCCAGACTTCTCAATACAGAAAGAAAGAAGCGCCTTCTTGAGGGAGCATAGAGATCGAAGGAAGTACTGTACTAATGTATCCTTGAGCACCGTCCCATTCCATCACGATTCCATTCTCTCCAGCTGAACCCAAGGGCAGCCACAGACATAGTGCTTACAAAGTATAAAAAAAAAAAAAACAAGTACTAAATATTTAGAATACACAAGTATAATATATCAGCATGTCTGGGTGTTTAGTTAGAGGAGAGGAAATCCCTTTGAGTTCATACTTGCTCTACACGATCACAACACGATTGTGGCCCTTTTGTTGCTTTTAAAAAAAAAAGAAAAAAAAAAGATATCCGTCAGATTCCTGAGCTCGCCAAGCTCGCCCCAGCACAAGGCTCAACACAGTGAAGTAAACATCAGCCCGGAAATAAAGAAGAAGAAAAAAAAATAGTTTAAAAGCTGTCATAGCAAAGAACAGATTTAATTAAACCATCGTCGAGTTCTGGGGAAAACGGTCAATTTCAGGCTCCACTAACGCTTTAATATCAAGAAGGACATCCAATACAATTATTGTCTTGATTCTACCCGTTTTAAGGCTGCGATCCAGGGCAGCTAACAGGACAGTACCTTGTTACCGTTCAGTCTGAAGAGAGTATAGTCATGGAAGGCAGAGGAAGTGCAAGTGGGCTGTCTGCTTTTCAACAACTCCAATGGCGGCCAAAATTGGATTTCGCTTAAGACAAAAAAGATTCGCAAAAAAGAATTTCACAGAGGTAAGACACTTAAGTCTATTGCACTCACAAGTTAGGCCTCCAATAGGATGATGGGAAACTCACACAAATAGCACTAAAATCGAGTCTCCTGCTAAGCACTGATCGGTTGAATAGTGTCATTCCCCACCACGATTGACAGGAATTTTACAGAAGCGTTTATTCATCGTAAGGCAGTTTGGTGCTCTGCAGAGAGCCCAGTTACACCTCTCTACCCCCATCTTTAATACAGAGCAGCTAAAACCACAAGAAAGAAAGAACACAAAAACCCAAAGACAAGTAAATGAAATCTAACAGCCCTCCAAGTAGACAAATCTAGTGAAGTGTAAAATGTGTACCGTATCATTTCATATTATGTAATAAAATCTCTCCATAGGATTTTTTCCATGTGATGTCAGTAATATAAATGTATAGACTCGAACCCCGTTTTCCATTTTGTTCCGTCTCCGACCGTGTCGCCATACAAATTGGCCATGGCCAGGCAGCCAATCGAATAAAGCGAGCTGGTTTGTGAGTACTGAAGATCACCGTCAGTTTTGAAGTTTCTCCGCTTATAAATATGAGTAGTGACGGTACCATCAGCAGGCTTGATCTGTATCTAGTCCTTGTAGAAAACCTCGCACAGCATCCGCAAATGTCTTTTTCAATGAAACCGAATGAACATATACAAGGTTTCCACTTGTGTCACCATCTCCGACTCCCCGTTCTCACTTTAAGACATTCTCATCCTCATAATCAAGTCCATCCGAAAGCCATGAAAGGATTCGCTCAGGTTTCCCTTTTTTGTTTTACATGACAAAAAATTTCTTTAGGAATGGCATTTCCAATCTTGAATGGAATTGCTGAGAAACTCATGCAGGGGTGTGCACAGTCACAGTAATGGTGATAAGACGTTTTTCATTTGAGGGTAACATAATGATGACACTAAAACTTGATATGAAACATATCAGTGAAAGGGAAGGAAAGGTGTCAGGTGGAAGGGGGTGTAGGGGGTCAGGCGGAGGGCTCCATGGAGTCAGCGAGCTCAGAGCTTCTCTGCGGATGGGATCCAGATGTAAGGGCCTGACTGCTCCTCTATGATCAGCTTGATTTTATTATAGATCTCGTCTAGCGAGTCACCCTGGACTATGGCTGGAGAGAGAGAGAGAGAGAGAGAGAGAGAGAGAGAGAGAGAGAGAGAGAGAGAGAGAGAGAGAAGGGCAATAATCATACTATTGTACTGATAACTCTTGTTAAACAGTAACAGGGGCTAGACTAAAAGATTTCCCCTGAATACAGTTAAGAGAAATCACATCAAATCAAAGTTACCTGTGAAAAACTCTCCAAACTCTTGTTCAAGCTTCACTGCCTTATCAAAGACTTTATTGGCTTGGTCATATGTCTGCCTCTTATTCATTTCCCTGTTGAACACAAAGAAGTGCATTACTTATTTCACAATGCATAAGCACATACTGCAGTATAGATATAGTGATGCACTAAAATGAAAATTCTGGGCCAAAACAGAAAATTCAGGATGAACTTGGATGAAAACCAAAAATGACTTTTTTTTACTTATTTTAAAATATATTTTTGTATAACTGTATTAATATAAGACTTTTTAATTCAGAAAATGAAAGTTTATTTAATAATCAATTAATCAAATTTATTTAACAATCAAAACTTAAATAAAAAAAAAAAAAAAGCTGCGCTTGAACACATCAAAGCCTAAAGGCGACAGTCAACTAACACGTGCGTTCTGCGCCTGCATGCAAGTAAATATCTGTCAATTTCAGCAGGTATCAATAGTCTATTTTCATCATTTAAAAAGGGAAACCGAAACTAGGACTGCAGGTATACAAACCATTAAAAAAAAAATTGCGCTTGCTTTCCTTTTTGAATATCAATCACGCTGATCACTGTCTTCATTCCAGTAGGCTCGTGTTATTATATAAATATTCGTGCATTTGAATGCTCAGGTAAGATGATTATAACAGCCTTCTGTCTGTATCTAGATTTCTTTGCTCGCTTTCGCATTTATTCTCGTTCACTAAGCTGAACAGCCAATCAGAGTTCTCTCTTTAACCGATAGCCTGACGCAAATTCAACATGCTCGGCCCAAAAAACCCAGGCGGCTTCTAAATAGAGCCAACGGTGCGGAACACACCGAAACGAAGCCGACCGACGCTCAAAAACGGCCTGGCGTTGCCCGACTTGGTGTGTCCCGGCCGTAAACAGTGGCTGTAATTATTTGCTTTCAAGACAGGTTTATGAAGACATCACTAACAGGTTAAGTAAAAATATAATGAATATGTAATACTGTATATATATTTAGCAAAATACTGCTCTCTGGATTTATTTTTTCTAGCTAACTAACGAGATATGGACATTGAGGGTACATTCACTCAACAACTATGTACTAAAAGCAGAAAAGTTGTTATTTTGCATTCGTCATCGCATAACACCGTTTTAATAACTAACAACGGAAAACTTTGTGTAAACGGCCCCTGAATGGCTTTCTTGAGGTAAATGTAACGTTACGGAACATATTGTGTGCTTTATTTGTAAACACATTGAGATTACATGATACATTTCAGTAAGACATTCTACATCTTTCTACATACCTTCTGATGTTTATTAAGTGCTCTAACTAGTAGTAAAGAAAGAGATGATCGGTTTATGTGTGCTTGAGAATGCCGCTTAAACTACAGCGAGTAGTTTCGTTACGCAGTGTTAAAGAGCGCCAAAACGATTTTTCTAAATGATGTGTTAACTGTTGTTTAATATTAAAACAAAGTGCAAAGCTTACTGCCATTATTGGATGGCAGGCACTTTAAATGTTTAATGTAGGAAGTTTTGTTCATGCATCAAAAGAAAATAGCATCAACTAAAAGATCGATCTTGAGTTTTAAGAATCAATACCAGTATTGATTAAAATGGTCAACCCAACCCTAGAGTCCACACAGCTGACACGTTTAACTGTTGTAGTTTATCCACATTGTATGCATGAAACAGACGCTGAACAGACAAATGTATAATAAAACGCCACTGATTCGGTCAATTATTATGGCCCTGGCTCGAAACGAACATTTTGGTGCATCCCTAATTATAAATATATAATAACTTTTTATCAATTTAATGTCATTTCTGAATACAAAATCTTACACTTACATCAGTGCCTCCACAGATTTTGGCTTGATGAAAATGGCGATTGGATAGAGCTGTGCTTGCTGCAGTCGCTTTATGGCGTTCCCAGACACATCCAGGATACAGTGTTTCCCCTACAAGAGAATTAAAGAAACCCTTTCATCCTGTGTCACACTTTCACTGCACACAATGATTGCCACAGGGAAAATATTTAAGGATTAAACAGGAGTTCAGATCTTCTGGCATGTTTACACTAGCGAGTCACTGACCCTTTCAGCCACTGCCCGGACAGACAGGATGCTTGTTCCGTACAGATTCTCATTGAACTGGCCGGCCTCTATAAATTTGTTGTCCTGAATGTCTTTCTCCATTTGCTCCCTTGAAGCCACAAAGTGGTAGTCCTGCCCGTCCATCTCATTCTCTCGCCGAGGACGAGTTGTATCTGAGGAATCGTGCATACTTTTTGTGTCACTTTACTTTTACAAGTATTGCCAAAACATTTCATGATAAAGATGTTTTGCATGTAGCCTCTGTGGCCTTTTCTTATTACACTCACGTGGAACACAGGATCCAAACTTGTGAGGAAACTCCGAGATCAAGTCATCGTTTACTCTGTCCTTCATTGGACCAAGGATAATCACAGGCCTTGTGTAATGGACTGAAAGGAAAGCCAAATCAATTTTGGTCAAAAATTTCCAGCCTTGAGAATAATTTCTTGGCTTTATGGAGGACATGTCATAGAAATGCAGGATTTTCCCTTCTCTTTTTAAAAACAAGTGTTCTATGCACTATGTACATAAAGCTCCCTTCCCAGGCCACCCAGACCATTTATGAAAACTAAACTACAAAGTAAACATGAGTCATTCAGAAATCGATCACATTAACAGATGAAATACACATATCACGCATATTAAAACGCTTACCACCTTTTGTTTATTAACCCCCTGGGGTCGGCTATCGCGCCGGCGCGATTGTCTCGCTTTTTTTCTTATCAGTGCAAAAGAGACTCAAATAACTCAGTCGATTTTTGTCATACAGGCAAATGTTATACATCAATCGATCCTGTTAAGTTTCTATTTTTTTTGTGGATACTCACAATAAAAACAAAGTGTTGTGCTTTTCACCAAATAAAGAAAAACAAACATGATGCGAGTTCTGCGTTCTCTCTGTCAGTGAAGTCCATTCTGAAACGCGTCCTAAGATTAACTGTAACTCCGCGATTACTTGTCATACAGGCACGAGATTTTTCTTTATGAAGCTTGAATTCTCTTCTTTTAAATGAAGTAATTTATATAAAAAACAAATATTCTCAGTTTATGCAATCTGTATGAAAAGAGAGTGCTGTCAGTATTTTTTTCCCCAGCTCATTACACTTCATTACGCGTTAATCTGACACGCCCACGGAGGACGCGCGCTATTCAAACGCAAATGTCGGCAAGCCATGACAATGCCCACATCAGCCGTTCCACCGCGGTGGTAAAATGTGTGGTGTATTTGCTGCCTTTTACCGCTAAGAGGCGCTACAATCATAGACTATGAAAAGTGTTCGTTTATTCCGGTTTATTCTCTCTAATGCGTAATCTGCTGCCGCACCGCGGTGATTCAGAGCGATTGAAAGCTGGTAGCAGAAGAATTCAACAAGTGAAACGTAGTTAAAATAATTCATAATCACAATACTGAAATTAGGCTACTGAAATGTAATTGAATAAATAATGAAAACATTTCAACATAAAACATTGCAATAAAAACATTTAGGCTACATCAATGAGGCTTTACAACTTAAACAGCGTACAGACGATAGCTCAGTGGTTAACGCAACAACACGAGCTTCGAGGAGCTTCAAACGACCCGAGATCGAATCTCAATGTAGCATACATGTTGTTAATCGATGTTGCCCTACAGCGTTTATATTTTACCACCTTGATGCTTAAATAGCTAACTGTTTATAACTGTTTACTTATTTAAAGTCAAGAGTTTTGTTTAATTATCATTACAACATAAATTTGTTACATTCCTGTAGAACCGCAGCCGCTGCACAAACGACAAAAACTGATGAAGGAAGATTGTCAGCCGATTGCGTCAGAAAATGAAAATGAAGAAGCTCGTCTTTAGTCTGCTAAATTATTGTGTAATGTAAAAGAACACTAAAATTACTTAACCCTTGTGTGCTGTTGTGGCTGTTTTCAGCCACTACAGGGTATTTTTGAGTCTTAATTTGGCCATAACTTTCTCCGTGTTTCAGCAAATGGAATGATTTTTGGTGACATATCTTATTTTGACACATATTTTTGGAAAATGCTTTGAAATTTTTCAAAAACTCAGCAGTACTCTGTGGGCAAATTCACTACCCTTTCGTTATGTTCGTGGCTGAAAACAGCCACTACTTTAAACTGCTGTAAAAATGTATCAGATAAATATTTTTTTCAATTTTTTTTGCATAAATCTATTAATCAACCTCAGTCCTGATCAAAACTACTAAATGTTTTTAAAAAATTCTGGATTTTAACTCTTTAATTGCCAAATTCATAAATGATGTCACTGATTTGGGGGAAAAAACACGCAAAATGACTTATTTTCAATATAAAATATAATTGTGGACTGGATTTTTTTTTACCTTTTATCACAGTCTTAGACATGTCAAAGATTAGAAACAACATTGGTTTTGATGCATTGTTAGTTTTTGTGCAGCATCAGATTTTAACTTTTTCTCCCTCATTTACTGTTCGTGGCTGTTTTTGCCCCATTGACTTCCATTATAACCACATTTTTTGATTGCAAATCCATGACACCATATAATCATGCATTTTTGATTGTTGGTGGTTTTCCCTGTTGGGAAGAGGTAAAATTAGTAATTTTTACTGTTGATAACCAGGTGTCACCATTAACCCTTTAGATAGGCCTGTGCAAAAAAAAGCTTAGTTTCTGGCTTTTACATAGAGTTATATGGAGTATAATAGCATATTAAAGTGTGTGTGTGTGTGTGTGTGAGAGAGAGAGTGTGAGAACTCACCTTGATGCGTCTGAGAAAATCAAAATATGCACCTCAGCTCTCAGAACTATATGGAGTAAACAAAAACAAAGTAAGTGTATTTATGCATCTGCTGCCTTTTGATGGTGAGAAATGCAGACTAAACAAAAACAAAGCAAGTGGATGTAAACACTTGCATGCAAGCCTGCTGGTCATTTGATGGTGAGAAGAGCAGCAAGCAACATGAGAAAGGCTTTAGTGGTGAAGTGTTAGAGATGATTATGCAGCCTGACCCCTCCAGCGAGCTGCAGGATGTGTTCTCCCTCTGACACCACAGACTCAGGAGAGGCAGATCCTGATTTGGATGTGGCACCCTCATCATCCTCTCTAGCTTCCACTGAAGGCGAGGAGGATTCGGAGGATCCTGGATCTGGGTGGATTGGGAGAAACGGCGAAGTGTGGTTTTCCACCAACACGGAGACAATTCCCTTTCTTCAGCCTGCCAGAGGCGTGACTCCAGGGCCGACGCGCTATGCCCTCGCAAGGGTCCAGAACATGGATTCTGTGTTCAATCTGTTTTTTACGGAGGAGATGATTGACCTCATTGTCAGCATGACCAACCTCCATGGACGCCGCACAATGAGAAACTGGACCAGGGTGGACTCCACAGATCTCCATGCCTACATGGGGCTACTGATTTTGGCCGGCGTCTACAGGTCCAGAGGGGAGTCCACACGTTGCCTGTGGGATGATCGCAGTGGTCGTGCGATTTTTAGAGACACCATGTCCCTCTCAAGATTCCATGAAATCAGCAGACCAAGACCAAGAGAGCAGAGACCAGCTCGCCGTAGAGCTCTAAAAATCACATGACCACTGCGATCATAAAATCCATGTTCTGGACCCTTGCGAGGGCATAGCGCGTCGGCCCTGGAGTCACGCCTCTGGCAGGCTGAAGAAAGGGAGTTGTCTCCGTGTTGGTGGAAAACCACACTTCGCCGTTTCTCCCAATCCACCCAGATCCAGGATCCTCCGAATCCTCCTCGCCTTCAGTGGAAGCTAGAGAGGATGATGAGGATGCCACATCCAAATCACGATCTGACTCTCCTGAGTCTGTGGTGTCAGAGGGAGAACACAATACATCCTGCAGCTCGCTGGAGGGGTCAGGCTGCATAATCATCTCTAAAACTTCACTACAAGTCAAGCCCTTTCTCATGTTGCTTGCTGCTCTTCTCACCATCAAATGACCAGCAGGCTTGCATGCAAGTGTTTACATCCACTTGCTTTGTTTTTGTTTAGTCTGCATTTCTCACCATCAAAAGGCAGCAGATGCATAAATACACTTACTTTGTTTTTGTTTACTCCATGTAGTTCTGAGAGCTGAGGTGCATATTTTGATTTTCTCAGACGCATCAAGGTGAGTTCTCACACACTCTCTCTCTCTCTCTCACACACACACACACACACACACACACACACACACACACACACACACACACACTTTAATATGCTATTATACTCCATATAACTCCATGTAAAAGCCAGAAACTAAGCTTTTTTTTGCACAGGCCTATCTAAAGGGTTAATGGTGACACCTGGTTATCAACAGTAAAAATTACTCATTTTACCTCTTCCCAACAGGGAAAACCACCAACAATCAAAAATGCATGATTATATGGTGTCATGGCTTTGCAATCAAAAAATGTGGTTATAATGGAAGTCAATGGGGCAAAAACAGCCACGAACAGTAAATGAGGGAGAAAAAGTTCAAATCTGATGCTGCACAAAAACTAACAATGCATCAAAACCAATGTTGTTTCTAATCTTTGACATGTCCAAGACTGTGATAAAAGGTTAAAAAAAAATCCAGTCCACAATTTTATTTTATATTGAAAATAAGTAATTTTGTGTGTTTTTTCCCCAAATCAGTGACATCATTTATGAATTTGGCAATTAAAGAGTTAAAATCCTGAATTTTTTTTAAACATTTAGTAGTTTTGAACAGGACTGAGGTTGATTAATAGATTTATGCAAAAAAAATTGAAAAAAATATTTATCTGATACATTTTTACAGCAGTTTAAAGTAGTGGCTGTTTTCAGCCACGAACATAACGAAAGGGTAGTGAATTTGAACAATGCACAAGGGTTAAGTTTGAAACCAAGTTCGAACATTTCAAGGTTTAAATAAAGTGTCGGGACAGTTTTTTTTATTTAAAACAGGGTTGCATCGGGTTTAGAGTTTATTTCTTTTGCGATGCAAAATAAGAAACACTAGGCTAATCTTATTATTGCGACATTTTAAATTTGTATTGCCAAAGAAATTACAGCTAAATTAAACAATTAAAACAGTACAAAACGAAAATTGTCCAAAGAAACATAATTAAATTAAAAACATGCGTTTTTCTTTGCCTCTCTCGCGCTGGAACTCTTTTTAACAAATTTATTTAGTCTCCCTCGCTGCGCATGCATGATATGATCAATGCATGATAATTATTTAGCCTTTAATTGTTGCTTCAAAGACACAGCATGCCTTGTTGAATTCACCTTACAATAACTTCAATTGAAATTTTGTGTGAAAAAAAACTTAAAATAGGCTACAATAAATAAACTACAATATTTATAATTTAATAAGATATGGGGCCTACATTTGGACACAGATTTATCCTTACAATAATTTTGCCTGCTCATCAGGCTGGCTATCCGACACTCTCCATATGAAAGAGGAACATTAACACCTTTGTCCAGCAAATGTCCCTCCAACCCCCCACAGGCTATCGGAGTCTGAGGCTGACTTAACACAAAGAGAAGTCGCAATTCACACTTAAATCGCTATTCTAGACAGTGTTGATAATGAAGGAATTAAATGATTTAAGTTACATGTAGCCTAGTGATATTTCTGTCATAAAAGTTTATTACTAAATATTTCATTATTTCAATAATTAATGAAATAAAACTGGTTTGGGCCAGCTTTTTCCAAGCAAAACTAAATATAATCTGAAAAAACGCTTGTTAATTTGTTGTCATGAACAAAATGTTCAACTTAATATTAAAGTCTACAGGGATCTTTGGATCCTTACAACCAGGCATGCAATTTGTGAATTAAGTTTTTATTTTATTTTGTATTCAAATAAATATCGAAACACGGTGCTTCGTGGTAATGCTGCTAAATTAAATAACATTTATAGAATAAATATGAACTTAAATGAAACAATATCGCAACATTTCGACAAATACATTATTATGTTTTTACATTTTAATTCAGGGCGATTTAGCCTACATTTAATTAGAGCGAGATTTTCACCCTTGTCTTGTCATTTTCTCATTGGGAAGCGCATGTTTGAGTAGATCCTCTGTACCTCTCGTTTTCATATGGATTAGCCTACATAATCAGATAACATTTATTAGCCTAAATATTTAGACATTTAAATTCTTTAGACATAGCCGATTTCTTATCGTGACTGAGCTGAAGTGGCTTTCGGTTCATTTTTGTGACGCGCAGTTCCCGGAGACAGATAGGACAGATATACTGTTTTTGTCGTTAGCCTAATATGAATACAAGTTTACAGTTTTGAACGATGTAAGCTACTCTACTCTTATCTGTATGACCAAAAAATTACGGAGTCGCCTATTAAGTTATTTTAGCTGTAATAATGAGATAAATAAATTTATCTAAATGAACGCGCCGCCGCGTTTGTCGAACACTAACTCACGATGCCAGAATAAACCCGACTTTAGAAAAATGCATAGGGCCACTCGGCGTGGTGTGCCAAAACACTTAATTATAAACTTCAATATTTCATTCAAAATAATCTCAACACGCTTTGTGAAATTTTGAAAAGCCGTGCATGCATTAAGGCCACTGGAACTAATGAACAACTGAAACGCTGGCTTTGATTTTATTGTTTGTCGTTTAAACGTGCCTGTTGCATATCTTTATTTTATATATTTGATATTGGTGAAGTAGCCTATAGCATTGATTAGCTGTGGAGGGAGGGGTGTGGGGATTAAAATAATTCAGCAGAAGTAGGGATGTTTAGACCAGAAGGAAATCCCAGTCCCCCCTGGCAAATCACACTTTACTTAAAACCATGTTTTTAAAAACTCTAGGTTGTAGGGAACAGACCTCTCTGCCATGCGCGCGCACGGTTTGGAGCACAATATCTGTCTTGCATGCACGCTCGCTCTAGATAGATTACGGGATATTTTAACTAATTCGCGGTATAACTAGTCGATCACGAGTGGCTCAACAGGTAGATCTATAGATAAACTATATCTTTCAGGAATTTGACCGACCGGGTTGACACTTCAGCGTGAGAAATCGGGGGTGTGGCGTGAGAGCCTGGAATAAAAAAAAAAAATATATATATAGCCTATATAAAAAAAAACTGTATGGTGTAACAGAGTTTTAGAGCTAGACAAATCTCTCTGCAATAATAAATATAAAATTTACAGCAGACCATGTATGTGCGGGATTTGAACCTGTGTCATCTTGATGATGAACCGTAAGTTCTACCGCTCGGCTATGAATTTTGTTACTGAGAAATATCCAAACGTTTGATTCTCACATGAGCGAATAAACGTTTTGTCTTTAGCCTGTGAGTGTAGGCCTACTTTAGCCTTTTACAGTTTTAAAAGATTATATCTTATCTGTATGACCAACAATTTGTATAGGCTTATTTGGAAATTACCATAACTTGTAGTATTTCATCCTTAGGCTACTGTTAATAGACATTAGCCCCAGTTACGTTTTGCTAAATGTCCCTTTGCGCCACCTGGCGGTCATTTCGTGAACGACTTTGAAATGAGACTGGTTTATTTTTACCGCGGTGGATGGCTAAAAATGGTATGTGGATGGCTAAAAGGTGTGACTAAAAATGTGCTTTTGGCTTTCATTTGTTTGTATATATATATATATATATATATATGTATATATATATATATATATATATACTAATGAGCCTTTCATTCAGGGGTGTCACACAAGAAAGAATGCAAGGACAATATATATATAAATAAATAAATCTTTATATACACACACTAGAGGTCTGCTACCCGACCCGAGCCCGACGGGTCCCGAAAGACGTGCGGGTTTCGGGTCGGGTTCGGGTTAATGTTTAATGAACAGCCTCGGGTTCGGGTCGGGTTCGGGTTTAACTAAGAAAAACTAAATAGGCTATATATAGTTTGCGTGCCGTGTGCTTTGCCTGCTTGCTGTGTTGTGGTGACCGGCACGCGAGAGAGAGAACATACGTGCGCAGATGTACAATATGTGCATACACACAGTCAGACACAGGCTCTCTCTCTCAAATATAATGATAATGATATATATATATATATATATAATTTTTTTAATTATTTGTTTTATTTTATCATATCATTTATATCACAAAACTGTTTTGTGCATGTGCTACCGCTCTCGCGCGCTATTTCAGTCACAATACAGACAGAGACAGCAGACTACAACAAGCAAACCATGAGTCTGATAAAGCAAAAAATTACTTGGTAAGTTTTTTCTCTTACTGCTGTGCTGCCTGCTGATAGGGCCGCTGCGCCTACATGTATTTGTTTAATATGTCAAGCAATCATTAAATACAACATAGCATATTGCAAAAATGGTATTTGCTGTGAGAAACAGAATGGACCTCGGGTTCGGGTCGGGTTCGGGCTTAATGTGTAAATGTAATTGTCGGGTCGGGTCGGGTTAAATGATCGCGGGTACGGGCCGGGTTCGGGCTTCAGTTTAAAGCCCGTGCAGACCTCTAACACACACACACATATATATATATATATATATATATGTGTGTGTGTGTGTGTATAAATATTTATTTATTTATATATATATTGTCCTTGCATTCTTTCTTGTGTGACACCCCTGAATGAAAGGCTCATTAGTATGCAGTCTGCTCAGGTGAGAACTGCCTAATTATTCATGAGCAGGGTTGGGCCGATCCGCCCATCCGCATATTGCCTTTGCAAACAAAAAAATGTTTTTCACAATTTAAAACAATCTATTGTTTTATGTGAATGATTAGGCAGAATGATTTTCAGATCAATTTGAAGCAAATACTCTAGGCGACAACATCCACTAGTCAAAAGTCTTGTGGACAGATATTTAGTATGTTATTTGTGGCCTTATATTAGAAACTTTATTTTTTATTTTTTTCAATAACCACGCATAAACAATATTCTCTCAAAAATACAAACATGTACATACATGTTGCTCACATATTATGGTAGCCCTGTGTGTGCTATATAGAGTGTAATTTCACCTGTGCCATTAATATGTTTATAAGCAACTGAAAAAAGCACAAATGTCAGAGCATGCCAAAACATCTCAAGGACCCCGAAAACACCTTGGACCCCAGAGGGTTAAACACCTTGCCCCACCCTAATGAAAGATAGTTTAACCTATGGCACATATACTTCTTGTTACTGCCTCAACAAATACAGAAAGCGACAGATTCACTAACAGCTTGCACCAGCGCAAATCCTGTTTTGTCGTTAAAAAAACACTGTCAGGATTTACTAAAGACACGCAGTGAAAAATTTGCATGGAAAAGGCGTGGACAGTTCTTTTTGCGGCTGACCTCATTGCATATGTATTTGTAGGAGTTTCCCTTTCAGACACAAAACTTTAGGGGAGTAGAGTATTAAATCAATCATGCAAGGTGATTTACTAAGGTTTGTGCTGCTAGTCAATTTATTAGTTAATTTGCGCCAATATTTACCATCCCAAAAAAAGCATGACTTAAACCAGACGCAAATTTGCACTGCTCTTGGTAGATTGCGTTGGTCATTTTTTAAATGATCCGGCTGCGTCTGAGTTCTTTAATTTGTGCATCGTTCCGTAGATCACACGCAGAACTTTCCACTCCCATTGGTGCTTTTGTGGAATTGCGCTCTCATGCTAATTTGCCCCATTTAGTAAATCTGGCTCATAGCATGTATACATGTACTTAAAATTTTCTGGAACAATAATTTGTCTCTTTATGAATTTTTCTTAGTCCAACTTTTGTCATGTATACTTGTACAGTGAAATGGACACTGTAGCTTGACCACGCAAGAACAAGATTATAACTGAACATGCAAGGCAGTGAATAATACAGAAATTAAATTTTTGGGGGGAATTTGCTGTTTTGTCATGTGGGTAGGGTAAACTAGGATTAAGGGTCAGAGAGAGATTGGGAAATAACTAAATTGGAACCATTTCAAATATTATAAATGAAAATAAAAAAGAGTGCAGAATGTTGTTTATGAATACTTACTCTCCTGTCGAATCACTGGCTCATACGATAGAATTGTGTCTTCCTGACCCTCTGCATAATGAGAAATGACAAAATGATTCATATGAAACACTAAGGTATCTATGAATTAGTTGTTGTTTTTTGTCCAAGCTCTAAATGGTTAACAGCATGACACTGATCAAATGGAATTCTGCACCTTAGCAGACTACATTGGGACAGATTTAATGCAGTAAGTAATGAAAAGCATAGGCTAATGAATGTTTAGAGCCACTCACTAGAGCTGCTTTCGCTGTCACTGGTGTTGGATGTCAAACACTCTGTGGATAGAAGATGAGGGAGGTTTAGAAATGTCACAATGCACACTTTCAGCCATATGTAAGATTAATACTACATGAAACACAGCTCGGGATGAAACTATACACCCTCCCGTATCATCATGCCAAGAATAGAAAAGGCTGAGTGAAGAGAGGAAAACAAACACAGAGAACGTTTGGGCACTTAAATGGCTGCCGTTTCCTTAGAAGGGAAATGGTAGGATGAGGCAGCAATAGGAAATTAAGTATTTCCTTTTCCTACGACCCCAGCGATCTTAGATTCTGTGCTGAGCGTTTCCTATGACCTTGCCAGTGTTCGGTTCATCAGACAGTGATACTGCTCCTCATGCCAAAGTAAACAAGCCAGTTTTGGGTTCCTTACAGGAATCAAATAACAAACATCCCTTAGATACAGTGACAACATGATAGTGCTAGAATCCTTAAAACATTAAACATGCACTCATCCTGCCCAGTATGAGCTGGTTCTGAAGACACTATGGGTACTGAAGAGGTCTGCCATTGATTCACTCTCTCTTTAGTGTATCATATGGTAAACAGATCTTTGAATTAAGAATATTTATGTGTGAATGATTTATGCGTTTAAAGTCAACTCAATATGAAATCAAAATTTATCTTACTTGAATTTACTTCACTAATGCACATTACTTAGTGTGTGTGATTTTTCAATGTGTTATCTCAGAGAAAAATGTCTTTGTAATCTTTCAAAATGTAATTTCAAAAGTTTCTTTTTCCACTGATATCACTTAAGCCATACAGATAATTAGATTATGTTAACTAATAGATAATACCTATTAAAGCAGTTTATTTATTTTTTATCAAACTCACATTAAGTCTGGCCCCATAATGGTATGTTACACACACTTTTCACCAATCAATACTCGATTGATACAATCAAGCCCAACATTTTTAGTTGCTAAACATCCTGTTTCACTTGGAAATGCGTCACTAAAATGAGTTGCGAATGGCAATTAACACTGACTTTTTAAAAGTGGCAGATGAATCTTAAGCCAGAGAGGAGATTGAGTGAGAAAGAGAGAGGGAGGAACAGAAAGAAAGAATAAAATGTGTGTGTGGTGTGTGGCACAGCCGGTTCAGTTAGCTTAGGGAACAGCTGCTTGACAAAAGGAACCACACACTTACTCAAACTCTTTGATCCATAAAAGTCATCGCTTAACCCTGGGAAGTCCTGAGCGTCCCGACAGGTGAAAGCAAGAACAAAGAGAGAGAGCAGAAAGGAAGAAGAAAGAGGTTAGTGAGAGGCTAGTAGAAGAGAGATGTTGCACTCTCGAGGGATGAAGGGTTACTAACATCACCTTGCTGTGCGCTGAAAAATCTGGGTTGTCCGATTGTAATTTAAGTACAGGGGATTTCCATACAGAGTCATCGGTAACAACATTTTAAGTCCAATTGCTGAAGGGAGCAGTTCTAAACAGCTCTGACACAGATTGATGTTTGAGCACAGCATTTGAGTGTTAGTGCAGCCTCACACCTGTGAGAAGTGCTGAGGTCCCCCTCAGAGCAAGACAAAGTCCAGAGAGGCCCCGATTGGCTCTGTTTTCTCACAGAAAGGTCAAGAGCCAATCAGAAGCCATCTCCAGGGTGAGTGACAGTGACAGGATGAAGCATGAAGAACAGCATCAGAGCCCTTGTCACACGCTCATACTCACGTTCGGTCTCCACCAACTCCTGCACTATATTCTCCTTGCTCTTGTAAAACGGGAACTTGCGTGATAGGTTGAAGCTTTTTTTGCGTTTCACTTTGACTGGCTGCGTGGAGATGAGCCGATGGTGGGGAATGGGGATGAGGAATGAAACAAACACAAAAAACAGAATGGGTTTCAATGTAATTCACAACACACATGCAAAAATAAAACCAAAGACGACGTGTGATTGCACAAACAATGTAAGTGGGGATAATGAATGTAAACGTATCTTGGATGCAAAGCTACATTCAGAAAAAAAAAAGTTAAATTTAACTCTGAATGTGAAAGGGAATACGCAATTGAACAATAAAAGAGATGTGAAATATCTTCTTCAAATTGCAGCTAGAGATGCACCGGTCGAATGGCCATAAATTGGAACTGGGCGGTTTTTAGTTTTATTTCGGCCGATCTCTATTCTACACAAACTGCAATGTAATCATTTTCGAAAATGTCATTCGTGTGGAAATATTAAGTAGTATGCAAAAAGGATGTTAACACAGGCCAGAGACGGGACACGCTGAAGACGGATGCAACGAAGAGAACACAGACACGCCAACAGAGCAAATATTGTACCAGGCAGAGCAAGCTCACCGTTCACAATACTCTAAATATAGGAAGAAAAATATAAATATAGAATTGGGGGAGGGGGTTTATATGCATCTCTGAAGGGAACTGACTGTCTTCAGAAATGTTTCGATGGCATTTTCTTTTCCTCTACCTCCGTATAAAGTAGTGTTTATAAGTGCAACACTGCTTTGTGTTCAGCGGTACCCAAAGAAACGGCTACTGTTGAATCACAGATCACAGTGAATTTGCATTTTCATTCCGTCCGTCTACTGTTTTTGTTTTATGTAGGTGTCTTATGTAGCAGAATTTCACAAATCTAAAGTCAGACCATTCTGTTTTTGCTTTAAATCTGGAAATTATACCATCTATTTAAAATCAAAAACAACTGCTCATGCTACATGTGTGTAGCCTCTTTGTTTGGATCGTGATTAAAATGCAGTGGTTGCCTCTAAATTCTAATGGCTACAGATATACAACAAATACATTTGCTTAAAAAAAAAAAAAAAGGAATTGGCCATGAAAAATCATGATCGGTGCATCACTAATTGCAGCATAAAATCATGGGTGTTAATGATAAAAAATAGGAAAAAAAATGTAAAAGTGAAGTGTGTAATTTTAAAATACTTTTTTTAAAAACACGTTTTTGCCTCACTGTTTAATGTGCAGTCAACTAAACTACCAATCAAAAATTTGGGGTCAGAAAAACTGTTATGGATTTAATATGCAGATTTGGTGCTCAGGAAACATTTTGTATTATTATCAATGTTGAAAACAGTTGTGATGCTTAATAGTTTTGTGGAAATGGTGATACATTTTTTTTTTCAAGATTCTTGATGGATAGAAAGTTCAAAAAACAACATTTATTTGAAATAGAAATATTTTGTAACATTATAAATGTCTTTAATTACCTTAATGACCCCAAACGTTTGACCGGTAGTGTACAAGTACACCATTTGTTGGTGCAACATTATGCACGTTCGAAACATTGCTGTTTGTTTGAGCATCCTGACCAGTCCATTACACACTTCACCCTCAAAAGTTCAGTTCACCCAAAAATTAAAATTTGGTCATTTACTCACCCGTATGTCGTTCATTCTGCCAAACATCTCCTTTTGTGTTCCATGAAAGAAAGAAAATCATACAGGTTTGGACAACATGAAGGTAAATAAATGACAATTGTCATTTTTGGGTGAACTATCCCTTTAGGTTACAAATAAAAGAGTGGGAATCTAAACATAAAAGTGTTTCTCAGTCTTGGGTCTGGAGGGTCCCCAACAGCCAATTCAGTTCATGGAGTTCTCTACTAATGAGCAGAGCAATAGATTCAGGTGTGTGGTGAGAAACACACCAGAAATATAAAGTGTTGGGGGGCCTCCAGGACCAGGATTGAGGAGCATTGATCTAACCATCACAGCTGATTATAATGGCACAGTACATGTTTGTAGTTGTATGCTTTTGTTTGTGTGTCACTGTGAGAAAGGAGCCTCCAGGATACAGTGAGAAGCCACCAATTCCCACACTCAGGGGAAGTGGGGCAGCTCCCATGACTCCTTCGCAGGAGGAGGACGACGAAGACTCACTCACCCTGTTGGACTCAATCATGCCCGTCCTTGCATGGAACTTGACTGTTTTTAATCGTGCACGTTCTTTCTTTTCCACCCTGTGGATCAAAAAATAAAAATGTGTGATTGGCAGTGAACACAGTCCATTACTACAGGGGAAATGTTGTAATTGTATCTTGGCTTGTTGGCAGTACTGTACCTTTTCTTGCTTGGTATGACCCCAATTTGCTCACTCTCCCCATGGGGTGTAACCAGCCGTGCCTGCCACCACTCATCATCGGAGGCATTGATGACATGCAGGATGTCCCCATAGGAGAAACTCAGGCCCTGGCTAGGGAGGCAACTGTCCCTGGTCCTGTCGTAGTCAAAAAGAGCCCTGGGAAAATCAAATGAAACAAGTCGTACATCAACAGTGTGCTAGAGGAGTGGATGTTCAGACTTCATTGTCAAACATCTGTTGTGTTTGAGTAAAGGATGGGTGTGGGGATACACATACATCACTGGACATCTGCATCTTTTTTGTTGTTTCAATTTGTTTAGCAGATGCTTCCTCATTGAAAGCAACTTACAGTACACTTCTTACCAAAGACATAGCAACCATTTCAGGGAACTACACTGCGACCAAAATGGTCGCATATGCGACCTTTTGAAATGCCACTGCGACCCTAATTTTTAATGGGTCGCAAATGTATCACCGTTTGATTATTTTTGTACCTACCTAATGTTTTAGGCAATATGCTATGATTTACTATGAGCATTTATTAAAACAGAAATGTGTATTTTAAGAATACGTTTTATAACGCGCTCTGAGCATTCAACACATCAAGTTGGCTTCGCGGATTCGCGCTTGTTTAACTGAGAGAACGAGCAGAGAGAGTGAAAGCCCCAGTCGCGCGCGCGCTCTCTCTCCCTCCCTCGCTCATAATAATGAATTGAGTTGACTGAATATCTTTGAGAATACACGATGGTAAAAGGTCGGAAGACCGAAGTTTTTTTTTTTCTGAACTACCACTGGTTGTGAATTGTGCTAAAATAACGTTGCCTCATCTTCTCTGAAAAGCTTTCCACACATTCAGATGGCATAAACCACTCTTTCAATAAACAAAACAAAAAATCTATCTGGTGATGAAATGTTTTCTGTGTTGAGACAAATCTTGTGCGATGTCCTAAACTGCCTGGATAATCACACAACGTGTGCCGTGGTCCGTTAATGACACGTCCGATTCGCGAACTGACTCCTTTGAACCGATTCACTTTAATGAATGGTTAAAATAACAACTGATCTGTCCAACACTGAACTCAAGAGTCATTCTAGAATGATTCATTCTTTCCAAGTAGAGCTATTCAAGTCATCTGGTGAAATTGTTTTTATATCGCAATATATATCGCAGAAAAATCAAATATCGCAATGTCATTTTTTTACCAATATCGTGCAGCCCTACTGTAAATTCTGTGGGCCTTCAATTGCAGGACTGTCCAAATTTGTAACTGCGTCAAAACAATTCAAACACGAATCATTGAAGCTTCACAATGACATATTATATTTATTTTACTTTTCCTTAAGAGTTCAGAAGTCTACCCATCTGTGCCAACCATAGCATGGTGAAATCCAAAAGAAATTAATTTAGCACTTTATTGTGTAGGCTACTGTATTTTCTATTGCAGTAAATCTATCCCAACCATTTTTAAAGAAAACAAGAAGGCATATGTTTTAAAAGATGGAGAGTAAAATAAAAAGCACATCTGTATGCAATACAGTTTCACTATTGGTCATTATTATCCAGAGCGGCTTACTATATAAATAATTTGTGCGACCAAATCATGTTTTGCGCTAGTAACTGAAAAAGTTAGTAGCGCAAGTGCCACCAGTGGAAAATGTTAGTGTAGTTCCCTGCATTTGAGAAATAATTTGCAAGATTATTTATTTAGTTTTTCATTTGTTTATTTTTAACATTACTGTTCAAAGGTTTCTGGTCGGTACAAGGTTGCATTTAGGCTATGTGTTAAAGAATAGTTAAAATGGTAATATTGTGACGTTTTAATAACAATTAAATTACTGTCTTCTGTTTTAATTATTTTAATTTATTCCTGTGATGCCAAGCTGAATTTTCAGCATCATTACTCCAGTCTTCAATGCCAAATGATCCATCAGAAATCATTCTAATATGCTGATTTGCTGCTCAAGAAACATTTCTTATTATTATCAATGTTAAAGCCAGTTGTGCCATTTCATATTTTCGTGGAAATCATGATACTTTTTTTCAGGATTCTTTGATGCATAGAACAAAGACTACAAAAGAATTGCATTTATTTTTAATAAAAACATTTAATTTTTAACATTATAAGTGTCTTTACAGTCTCTTTTGATAAATGTATTCCTTGCTGAATACAAGTAATAATTGTCATTATTGTTCATATTGTTGCTGGGTATGCCCTTCGCAGTCAGTCCCCCTAGATCAACCTGTGGTTAAGCACTCAAGGCCACAATAGTGATAGAGGATCCCAGTATCATCATGAGAGGGAAACCAGATGGCAGATGACGTTGAGAACAGAAACACAGTCAGGCATTGTGTTTAAAGCTGAATGTCTTTACCTTGTCAGACAGGTAAATCCAAATGAAAGGAGAAAAACCAGTGGAGCAGGCCTTCCTGTTTCTCAACATACCTCTCCTAGGAAATACTAATTATAAGCCCACTGAGACACGAACACATAGTTTGCTGCACAGCTAGAGGAAAACATCAGGACTCTGTTTTAAGATAAAGCCGTGCAGGGTGGGATAAGTGCTGACTGACATGCCTGTAACATTTTGACACACATTTATCTCATTACTGCATTCACAGGAATGTGAAAATGCCTTGAGATCTCACACCTACCATTAACACGTGTGGTCAGCTGACTCATGAACCCAGAGCAGCTGAATGCTTCATTAAGCACAGCTCACTTTAGGTGCAAGCTACCATCAGAAGCAGGCCACACATTCATTAGACAGATTATTTATTTAATAAACGCATTACTAGACTGCTACCACTTCTTTTGAAAATGTGCCGATTATACATGTTGAATCGGCCAAAAATAAACCTGACAGCGTCCGACTAGAGCCAACGGTGTGGACCTTGGTGTGTCCCTGGCTTTACCCACACTGTCTGAATGCAAACAATAAACAGCTATGCATATAGAACAAATGACCGCCAACAAATTTGGAGGAAACATTTGGATACATTTAAAATAATAAATATTAAATTAATAATTTATGACTTATCAATAACCATGCATTTTTAAAAGTATCAAGTGTTTCTGATAAAGTTAAACAAAAAAGTAGAAATTAAATTTCACCTCGCACACATTGATTTGATTGAAAAATCACATCCGGTCGGCCAGTCGCATACGACATAGTCGCTCAAGTTTGTTGTGTTTGTTGGATTTAAACATTACAAAGTAAACGTTTTTTTAACACATTTCAAAGCTCAAGTCAGATCTAAAGATTACGCATCCACGATTACGATATGGATGACTTCCACTTGTCGTGTACAGTGGAAAGGCGGCTATAGAAGGCCACCTCAGAATGTTTTCTTTTCATCCATTCTTGAGTGCTTACTGTAGTCTGTTCCGGGTCATTATCCTGCTGAAGGACTCATGAACTGTAACTGAAGTACAGATCTCTAATACAGGGCTAAATGTTCTTCTCCACAATGACTTGATAGATCTATGATTTTATGGTGCCATTCAAAGATTCCAGGTACCTAGTGCCAGAGGCAGCATAACAGACATCAAAACAAGAGTCTTCTTGCATTTTCTACCACGAAGGTGAGTAGAAGGTTCTACCGTTGTTCATTCAGACAGTGACAGGTGGTTGGACTCTAAACTGTTGGACCTTGAGCTAGGTGTTCCGCTTAGATCTGTTTTGTAGATTCTCTAGGATCTCCCCCTTCCCATTGCACAATCTTTCGTTTTTCTTAAATTAATTTTCCTCTCACTGCCATGTCCAGGGACACTGGTTACGGTCCCATGGACTTCTTTATAATGATACAGTGTGCCTCAAAACAACAGAGCAAGCACTTCTCTTCATTTAAACTGAATGAGTATGGAATACGTACAATAAGGTTGGAAACACTGGTAAAACTATTTAGGGTAAAAAAATATTTCCGACGGTTACCAATAATTAGGGATGCACGATATATCAGCCACCATATTGGTATCGGCTGATATATGTTCATTTATAATGTTATTGTTATCGACCTGATAAGAACATTTGGACGATTTCTTAAAGTCGATAAATAATGGATTAATTCCTTAAGCTAAACCACTTCAGATGTGTGCTGTCCGCCATGATGGTTTTAAATTGCTTGAAAAATGATTGGAATCACTTCAAAAAGGAAAATACAGTTAAGTGCAACGTGCAGCGGAAGTCTGGCATATAGGCTACATAAAATTATAATGATAACACTACTGTAAAAGAATGTTGTGAACTTTGCACGCCCGTCTTTTAGCGCATAGGGAAGAGCGCACCCACGATGTACACCTTCATGACTAGCACAGTCAAGTTCGCTTGTGCATTCGCAGCCTTTTTGTTAGTGCAATTGTAAATTGTAATATTATGTTTATTTTGTGTATATGTATACATCTGATTTATCTCATATAGGATGCATTTGGTTAAGTATTAACATTGTAGTAAAGCACATCGGTGATCATCTTTAGCTTCAGAGCATGCAGCTCAAATGGCTACGTACGACATTAATAACTATGATTGGGGCTGTCATATATTCATCATCTTAAGCCCTATTCGCACGGG